CCCCAAAACCCCAAAACCCCCATCTAATATTATTGAAAATACTAAATTATATTAAAAATATTATATTTAAAATAGTATTAATTTTATTGATATGTCTGAATATTAATCATAGAAAACAGAGCCTTTTCTTGAATCTTGCGTGCTGCTTAACTAAATAAGTGATATATCTTTGATGTAGAAAGAGAAGACCTTGTTGATGGGACTCAGTTTCCTCTATGGAATCTGCAGTTTACTTCCAACAGGCGCAATACTTATTGATATGGACTTTTTCATTAGAAAGGTAATTATTGATTATGCTTTAATGCTCAATTCTTATTATAGCTACCAACATATCATCCTGAATATGTCTATAACTTGATTGCAAGCTTTACTTAGCTTGGAGGGATAGCCATGGGATTTGTGCTTATAAACAAAATAACCTATCAAACTAAGTTTTTGATTGCTTTTGTGCCTACTATTATTTTTATGTCATTGTTTCCATTTGTTTACTTAATCGAGGATGATGATACTGTCTGGATCCTTTCAAACCTACTTTTGACATTGATTGGTAATACAATTTTTAAGTAATTTTTGTAGGTGTTTTCTTGGGATTTATGATGGCCATCGTTTTGGGTATTTCAGGTATTTTAGGCCCACAATTTACAGGGTTAATGCTGTTGGGTTAGGCCGTGAGTTCTCTAATCACATTGGTAATTAAAGCTGTGACTTTGCTAATTTTTGATGTTCAAACTGACTAGAACTAATTTTATGGAACGTTAATGTTCTTTTTCATCACAGTAGCTATCCTAGTTGCAGCTATAATATCAACTCCTGTATAAATATCTGCAACATAATAAATTTTTATAGATTTACTTAAGATAAAAATATCTTATTTTGGCTACCGAACTAAGAGAGAGATAAACTACAATGATTAAAGAAAGAGAGGCTTCAGTTATAGAAAATTTAAGTTAGAACAATGATCTAAAAAACATTTCAATGTTTGAAGTCAAAGCTTAAAACCCTCTCAGAATTCATTTCTACTTAAAACTTATGGATAAAATATGGGTTGAGAGTTTAATTCTTTTTATCAATTTCCTGATCTCTTATATGCTTTATCCTAGTATACTATTTCAAAAGAAATTCGAACTTTTTGAAAACATTTAATGGAATATTTTAATGCTAAATTTGGGATTTAATCTCGGAAACTTTATTGGAAGAGTCTTGGCTAGATTTAAGCATGGCTATTCTAGATTATTTTTAATATTAACTTGTATATCAAGAGGATTAATAATAGCCTCATCTTTTGTAATTGGCTTAGAAGACACTGTATTTTTATCTCATCCTGCGACAGTTATTTTTAATTCGCTATTAGTTGGTTTGACTGGTGGATTATTTAGTGTAGCATCAAGCACTAGTTTCCATTAACGACTTGCTGCTTAAGAAAAGGAATTTGGTGGATATATAATTACCGTGATGCTTAACTCAGGTATCGGAGTCGGTTCTCTAGTTAGTCTCTTGGCTTTTCAGCATACATTTAAATGATGATTAATATCAATTATTTAACACTTTCAAATCTAATAATGAAATTAGCCTTGTGGGGTTTTGGGGTTTTGGGG